TCTAAATTAAAAGATCAACCTGATAGAAGTAGTAGTCCAGAATCTTATATACGCTTTATTGTTTATAGCGTTCCTGTGTGAGGCAAATACTTTACATGCCCCCTCAACCCAAACTGGACTGGAAAATATTGGGGTGTATAAATAGGGCAAACAAACCATTAACAAACTACTCTTAATCATGGGTGCTAAACAAACAATCAAACCACAATCGAGCTTGCCTCTGATACTATGTTAAGACCTGAGTAGTTCTCATCTTAAAAGATCAACCTGATATAAGGAGTAATATAGAATCTTATATCGTGTTTTGTTGTTTGACAACGTTCCGGTGTTGGACAAATACTTTAATACGCCCCCTCAATCCAAATCGGACTGGAAAATATCGAATGCATAAATAGGCCAAATGGACCTTTAATTAACAAGTCACCCTTAATATGGGTGTTAAACAAGACGTTAAACCACAACCGGACTTGGTTTGATACCATGTTAAGACCCGAGGTTAAATCCTTAAAGATTAACCTTTTCGGATGGAACCTCGGGTCTTAACATGGTATCAGAGCCAAATCGATCTATAAATATGGACCGGTTTATGATCGCATCCAGTAGCAGTAAATAGGCAATCGCCTCCTTATGTTCCAAACCTAGATTACCCTTATGCCGCAAACCGCTGCTTGCACCGTCGCGATAATGAAGCACAAACGCATCAGACTTGTGTGCTCATGTGTACAAGAAAAATGAAATATACGAAAACGTGGTAAAAGAAATATGAGTGTGTTGACATTGCAGGTAACGAAACCCACACAACGAGATCCCAAGAGCTAAAATCTAAACACCCTCCATGCGTTTGTGTGTGTGCGTGGCGGAGTAGTAGACAGAAATAAAGGATGTAATAGAAGACGTAGTCGGTAGTACGTACATATTCGAAGGATTCCGGTCGAAGCTGGGTTGTAATGTGGCTGACCTATCAAAAGCGAGAAAGCTAAAGCAGATGTTGAAATGAAAATAAGTGGCTTTAAGATGTTCACATATTTGATATGAAACAAAAAATGTTAAACAAGAAGGCGTACATTACGTCGGAAGGGATAAGAAGCTTAGTGAGAGATTCGAGGCCACTGGAAAAAAAAAGATTCTAGGCCACCGAGAGAAATAGGTGACGCACTGCCAACTCGACAAATCCAACCCCTGTCGAGGACTGCTGCCAAAAAAGCTGCCTGAAATTTTTTATGATACTTTTATGTTCAATTTTTATTTTTCTGGCTGTCATAGCTTAGTTTCATGTTTCACGACGATAGTCATATCTGGCAGTGACATGAAAATCTGGTAGTGACATCTTATTTTTCCAAGTATATTACCTCGTTAATCACATGTTGTTTGGAATTTATTCTGCTTCTTTTTTAAAAGCTGAAAGTAGAATCAGAATCATTTTTCATAAGATGGTCTTCGACAACTTCTCAAATAACTCTTTCTAATTTCTATGATCCATTTGAATCAATTAGAAGTACTTCTACACTTCCATTCAAACACTACAGTATTTGTTTCTATTCTCTAAAAGAGCATAAATAGTTTTATGAAAGAAATTCAATCATAATCTCTCTCACTAAAATAGTAGATGGAAAAGAGCCAAACATACTTTTCACACAATGACATAAATTTACTTTACTCTTATGTATATGAACCAATTGTCCATGTACCCCATCGCAAAAATAGATCTATATTACAAGGCAAATGCAGTATGAAATCACTCACTTATCATCCAGTTTGTAATATGAAGATAATAATCATAATAGTATACTCCATCCGGTCCTTATTAAACTTTACATTTTGACTTCACAAATATTAATGAAATAAATTTGACTTCACTGTAGAGTACACTGTTTGACACTGTTTGGCACTATTTTGCACTGTTTGGTGTAGAATTGTTTGCCAAATAAAGAAGTGTAAAGTTTAATATGAGACAACCCAAAAAGAAAAATGTAAAGTTAATTAAGGACCGGAGGGAGTATGTATTATCCATGTGAATGAAACTAACTACATCTGAAAATATAAATTAAAGGACATCACTAAAAAATTAAAGCAGCATTTCTGAGTGAGAAATGTGTCGGGAAGTCCAGGAATTTCTCAATTTTTATATAGTTTTAGAGATAACAAGGTACTTCGTATAAAATATGATGCAATCTAACCGTATTTCGGTATATAAGATCGTGTGGGACTCCTTAATCTCCTCATGTCAGTAAATATTTAAGAATGAGAATACGTTAGATAAATAGTCTGTCAAAAAAAGATAATAGTTCATTTGTGGCCTAATTAACCACTCATCCACCCTCAGTTTTTGCAATTCGGATTGGTTGAAGTGTTTATCTCAAACTGACAAGCTATGTACGAAGTATAAAATAAGGAGTATTAAAAAATCTATGGACTACTCTTATGTTCACACCCAAGTGGGAACTCAAGTATGGAATAAAATATCAAACCCAATAGGAACTGATGGATAGTCTACCCGGGTGGTAGCTTATCCGAGGGGTTATTACGAGGAGTAATAAGAGAGAAGCCAGAGCAAGTAAATATAGAGAGAGAAAGTATATTATAAGTGTGGAGTGTTTTCAGCGTGGTTACAAATGGAGAAATGAGGTGCTATTTATAGTAGCAATAAATGCCGGACATGGACACGTGTCAAGCGTCCATTGGCCGAGAGGTCACCTCAACTGGTTGGCGCTGGCAGCCGCATGTGGCAGCATTTAATGCGGCTGTTGGATGAGACGTTGTACAGGGTACGGTGATCTGTACGCATGTGGCGCGGATATTATGTCGGGAGAGGTGCCATCGGCTGCAGAGGACTAGCTGAGGGCTCTGAGTGCAGGGGACCCCCTGGGTGCCGAGGGCTCCAGGTGCCGAGGGCTACTGTTTTCTGCCGTTTTTCCAGTTTCTTAGTTTGCTTGAGAAACCCGTTCTGTGAGAGTTTAGAGCCTTCGGCCAGGGGGCCGAAGGCACCCCTGGTGCGCATTGCGGGCTGCTTGGTATTCTGGGCGCTGTGATTTGGGCCTGTTGGGCCTTCTGGGCCTGTTGAGCCTTTACTGGAGTAGTAGGAGTCTGTGGATCGGGTGTTCCCGGACCATATACTCCATCAGGAACATTAAAAAAAAAACCTTACTATTTGGTTTAACTAATGTCTTCTACACTCAAAATTTGCTATGCCAGTTTAGGATTGTGATTTTTGACTTTTTGAGCCACCACGTTGATCATGTGCCAATTTTGGTGCCATTTTTGTACATAAATTTGTCTTTTCAATCTCGTAAGAAAGCAGACTAGAAGCCCGTCCGGGTTTAAGAAAGGCAAGAAATTAAAGATCAAGGTACAAGGTACTCCAACTCATTTAATTTATGTCAAATTATGGACTGTTATACCATACACATGGTATACCAGTCTCAATACAATATTATATCTTTAATTAAACAAAAGAATCCAGATCATTTTGTTATTTTCAGTCATCTATTCTTTTTCTTCATCAATCTCTTAAGTCATCTCCGTGACTTTTCCTTCTTTTTCTCATCTTCTTCAATTATTTCATCTCCTTCATCAAAATATTAAGAACCTAACCACAATTTCGTTTTTTTCATCTTCAAAATTCTGATTTTTCTTATTCGTTTTCTTTTCCTCTTCAAATATCTTCTTCTCTTTACAAAAAAAACAACATTACCCCAGTATCGTAAAGGCTCCTACCTACAGTGGCAAGAGGGGGTCGGATGACAGATGTACGTAGGCTTATCCATGTACTAAAGAAAAGAGAGACTATTTCCGGATGACTTATACTCGCTCCGTTCCAAATGGAATTGCAAACTTTGACTGACACAAGGATTAAGGAGTGACAATAAATAATGCTTGTTTTTTACACTTTTGTCCATCTTTCTAAAAGTAGATGCCTTTAAGTTAATGGAAAAAAAGTAAAAGTAAGGGTACAGTTGTCATTTTATTCTTATTTACATTCCTAAAATAGAAAGTGGAAAATCATTTTGGGACAACCAAAATATGAAATTTTGCAAATCAAATGGGACGGAGGGAGTAATAAAAATCGCGTCAAACATTGCATGGCCTCACAGACTCACAGGTGTTTCATAACAAAGAAGTGCAAGTAGTTTAGTGAATCATTTTGCTTTATTCCATCGTATTCCCAAGTCAAAAAGTAGTTAGTCCTTGACTCTATTGGAAATGATGGAATAAAATATCTTCTCCTCCATCAAAATATTATATTAATAATCTAACAGCAATTTTATTTTTCTTCATCTTCGAAAAAACCTAGGATTTTTCTCCTCCAATTCAAAACTGAAGTTTTATTAATTTAAAATAAAAATTTATATTTGTATTTAAAAGCCTGCAACACTCCTTCATGCTACATTTTCTCAAGTTAAATTTCCACTTAACATGATTTACTTTTTCGATTTGTGGCCTCAACTTTCATTTCCATTTACATCATTTAATTTACATTTAATTTTGACTTGTCTCAAATTACATTTTTCGTTTACGCCACTAACTTTTCGACTTGCCTCAAGTTACATTTCAATTATCACGATTTACATTTCGATTTGCCTCAGCAAGTAACATCAATTAACGCGATTTATATCTCGACTTGTTTGACTATACATTTCACATATACGCAGTTTACACTTGATGTACGAAAGATGAGAGAGTATCCACTAGAGAGAGAGAGTAACACGAGTTATATTCCGGCGCATGCAGAATTACATTTGCCGCTGATTGTTATTCCTAAAACTTAAATCAAATGACTTCGCTTTAGTTGTGGGAGTATATATGATGCTCAACATGCATGGATCGCACCGCATTATAAAAAGTGTTAATTTAGCATCAACTTTCCCGCAAAATGAAGATAACATTAATCATTAACATAAAAGGGAGTCCGTCCATTCCATAAATGCAATTAAATTGAGTGACATTTTAAAGTTCCTTTTATATATACTCGTATATAATGAAACAAAACTATCGAGCTCGTCAAATAGATTACTTTTTCATGTGATTACATTACCTTTGCAACATTCTCTTTCAGAGTTGAAAGTTACCCCTTTAACATGATATTACTGAATCCAAGAATCACAAAAGACACATAACGATAGAGTACGTAACTTGACATTCATTGACCAAAACCACAATACTCCTTCACCAAGGGAGGGATGAAGACATCAAAAGCAAACCCATTCTTAGCACACCGATCAGTCATCTCATTAAAGGCCATGCAACATGTTGTGCTCAACCTCGGAGCCTGCGGCAGACTCCTTCCCAGAAACGCATTCGCTTCGACCATACACGCCGCCATATCATGATCCATCGAGCCCCAACATCTTTGAATATCAAATGAAGGTTTAGGCACATTAATATTATCATGTGATGGGAGATGGAAAGGGGAGAATGGAAAAGCTGGAATATTGAGGAATGGTGAACTTTTTTGGGATTCTATCGGTACAATTAACATTGCTGAATAGTATGCTATTATGAAAATGAAATGTGGCATCGAGCACACAAAAGGGGATGAGGCCATTTTTTTCTGAGTTTAGTTTAACTTTTTATTGGTGAAGGAATGGATTATCCTTAAATAACAATTTGTACAGCCATATCATTATTATTAGTCAAACTAGATGGCTAGAATGCATTTATCTTTTTTCCTTAAATAGTTTGTGTGCCCGCACATTTATTTCCACAACTATGAAAATCACAAAATGAAATTTTGATGATTTGTTGACATCAAGAATAAACGTGAACACACCTAAATAACTTTACCATCACTGTTAAGACTCGAAGTTCCATCCTAGAAGGAACCTAATATGGATCGGAAAGTAACTCAAAGTCGTATACAGTGTTTTATTGTTTTATAGGTTTCCGGTGTGGAACAACCGAACAAATGCTTTAACAATCACTCACATGAAACCTAAGTTCATTTGAAAATTGTTTTAAAACCTATGTTCATTTGGAAATTGTAGTATCTGTAATAGTTATACAACTTAATCTAGCCCTATAAATAACTTTGTTTTATTATTGTCTTACACCCAAGTTCATTTGAAAATTGTAGTATCTGTAACGGTTATACGTACAACTTGATCTAGCCCTATAATAATAATAACATTGAAAGGGAAAAATGTTACGTAGTATTAAACATTTGGATGTGATACACTTTAAATAAACATGAAATGTGTCACATGTAACGTGAATCATACACGAGTAGATTGCAAAAGAATTTTAACCCATTCACTCAAATAACATTGTTTGAGTCAAAAATACTTTAACAATCACTCAAATTATTATTTTATTGTTTTAAAACCTAAGTTCATTTGAAAATTGTATTATCTGTAACTGTTATACAACTTGATCTAGCCCAAGCTATAATAACATTAAAAGTGAAAAACGTCACGTAGTATTAAACATTTGGATATAATACACTTTAAATAAACATGAAATGTGTCACATGTAACATGGATCATACACGAGTACATTGCGAAAGAGTTTTAATCCATTCATTATATATTGGACATGGGATCTTAGGCATTGCGCCTATGAAACGCTAGTGATAAAATATAGGCTAAAGGGTCAAATAGGTACATGAACTAACTTAAAGTGTTCAATTAGCCCCTTACATAGGAGGTTCTGCTCAGTCGTCGCCAATTGGGACGGTTCCCTGTGGAATTTTTTGATGAAAATTTTTGAGCATCTTCATCATTAAATCTAGTTATCTTCAAAAAATCATTTGACTGGCTTCCCGGTTGAATTTTTAGCTGAAATTTGATATGGGTAAACTAGATTTAATGAAGAAGATTCTCAAAAAAAATCATCAAAAAAAATCATCAGGAATCGCCCCAATTGGTGACGGCCGGACAGAACCTCCTAAATAAGGGGCTAGATGAATACTTTAAGTTAGTTCATGTACATATTTGACCTTTTAACCTAAAATATAAGGTAAATATAATTTCTTTCACAACTTATTATCATCACATTTGATCAATTCCACTGTTTAAATTATAAGCTTAGATACGAAGTATATTCTTCCATTCTCCCATTTTATCCTTCTCCATCATCCCTCTTCCTTCTCTCTATCCATTCTAATCCTAAAAGAGAAATGGTGCTAAATAGGAGCTTAACTTCTCTTATGTAATTAAATAAGACCTTAACTTTTTTAACTCCTAAATAAGACCTAATTTTAAGAAGTTTCCAAAACTGCCCCTGTTTCCTAAATAGCCACCCGTGCCTTCATCTCTTAGCATCTCCGTCCCCGAAGCAGAAACAGAGTTTCGTCGAACAAAGCACGCAGCACAGAAAGCTTAATGAGATAAGGCGGGGCAGATGGGCAGTCTTGCGGAGGAGCGAGCGCGGCGGCGGAGAGAGCAGTGGTAGCGGCAGGCTCGAGCCGCGCGGCAGGCTCAGGCCACACGACAGTCATGTTTTTCTTCTTCTCCTCGGCCTGCTATGTTCCTCTTTCTTCTAGTCCCTTCTTTTCCTTACTCGGCAGCAGGCTTGTGCTTATTCCAATTTCCAGTAAAAAAATTATATTTGCGTTTTGCTTTATTTCTTTATCCGGCTTATTTTCTTCCATTATCTCCTCCTCTATGGTCTGACACACACATCGGCGACATCGGCGGCAGATATTGTCATAGAAGAAACAATTGTGGCGGTGTCAGATCTGACAACAGTAGTGAGGTGTGAAGAGACTAGGAGTCTCAACTTCTTCATTCCCTTATTTTCAGCTTCTTTCATCAATTTAGGTTATTTTCTAATTTTGATTTTTTCCCGTCCTCCTCTTGACTCCAACACATACAGTAAGTGCTCTGTTTTTTTATAGAAGAAAAGTGCTGGCTTTAATTTGTCAATGTAATTGGAGATTGTTGATATTGATATTAATACATTATTGTTGATAAATGATTTTAATAAGGGTCTTTCTACAGTGCATTGGCTTTGTTTTGACAACGTTGCACTTGAAAATAAAAATTACTACGTATATTTTAGAACTTTGGCATTAGTTTTAACAATATCATTTTCATAATGATTGACATTCTTATGACATTGTTATTGACATTTTTATGACATTGTCATTGACATTCTTATAACATTGTCATTGACATTCTTATGACATTGTCATTGACATTGTTTTCTATTGACATTCTCATGGCTTTGTCATTGACATTCTTATGACATTGTAATTGACATTGTTTTTTTTTTCACTACATTTTTATAATCCTCAATTGTAACATTATTTATTGTGACAATCATTATGATTTATAATCCTCAATTATTATTTAAAGTGCATGAACGAGTGGGCTGATAATGTCCAGGCTACATTGACACTGTCACGACAATGTCATTGACACTGTCAGGGCAATGTCATTGTCATTCTTATGACATTGTCATTGACATTCTTATGACATTGTCACTGACATTGTTTTCTATTGACATTCTTATGACTTTGTCATTGACATTCTTATGACATTGTCAATGACATTGTTTTCTATTGACATTCTTATGACTTTGTAATTGACATTCTTATGACATTGTACGAGTAATTCACATTTTCATCATTACAGTGTCATTATTTAAACAATGACATTGATTTTAAGCAATTACTCTATTTTGATTTTTTAATACAATGACATCATTCTATATTGTGATTTAATAATATTGATGTTTAAACAATGCCATCATACTCTATTTCAAATAATATTCAAATGTTAATTTAAATAGATTAATTTGCAAAATCCCAAAAAAAGCAAAAATAATACGTGCGAAAACTTTTGAAAAGTTAGAAGGCAAAAAAAGTACTCAAATGATAACTTTGAAAGTTAAAAGGCAAAAAGAAGTACCGGATTGAAAAGTCAAATCAAACAACCACAAAAATGAAAGTTAAGAGGCATTGCAAGGAATTGCACGGTCCATAACAAATCCAAGGAAGAGGGTGACTTGCGCTGGGCACAAAAAAAAAGCAAGAGGAGTAGGAGCAGGTCAGTGAACGAAAATAAATTCTGTGCCCGGCTAGAACCATCGGCAGATCGGCGCCGACTCTGGTTTACGTCTCAAACCGGCGACAACTCTGGCGAGAACCATCGGCAGACCGGCAGTGAACGCAGCGACGGAGACTTGCATCCTACAAGAATGTGATAATCTGCTCGCCAAATGTTTCACGTAGTTGTCGGCAAATCAGTTGAACCGATGGTGTTGGAGAGCAAAGCATGCGAGCAGGTTGAGAGCAGAGCATGCGAGCAGGTCATCTGAGTTAGAGTTAGGTGGTGTGCGCAGAAGGTAAGGTAGATCGGGAATAAAGAAGCTAGCGGTATTTTTGTCCGTCCGGATAAAATTAGGTCTTATTTAGGGTTTAAAAAGTTAGAGCTACGAAACCTATGTTAAACTCCTATTAGAGTCTTTTTCCCATCCTAATACCCAATAAAAAATGAGTTAATTACTCAAATAGGACTAATAGCAAAGTTAATTATTGCACATTTAGGACTATTAACAAAACACAAGTTTCATAAGATCATGTTCAATGTAGTTGGACAAAAATACCTCTCTTTTAATTTTAAAAATTTTAACCCTAGTGGTAGCACTAACGTCGTCAGAGCCGAACCTCCTATTGCCGCCTATAGCCAGCGACGGCGACGCATGTCACCACCTTCGCCACCTGCCACCTGCTAGTGCATCATCGCCATCCATCTCCGCCCATGCCGCCGCCGCTTCCCACACCAGCGTTGCCATCCATGCCATCACCATCTGACTGTGTCATAATCTACCGCTGTCAGCATCATCTGAGCACCACCGCCATCATCCTCTGTGCACCGCCGCCACCGTCACAACTCAGGCGGAATAAATCTGCCATTAAGTTTGTAGATTTAACATTGGGGATTAGATTCACATCTGCCAAAGAGTTGGCAGATTCATCTTGGAATATTAACACAAAACTCCCATAAAATTGGCAAACAATGAAAAATATGAAGTAAATAACCAAATATTCAAAAAACTAACATATTTAAAGAAAGAGTTTTTGCCACTTTTAGTCCCCGACTATTGTGTCAGTGACACTTTTGGTACTTGACTTTTAATTTTTCCATTTTTAGTCCTCGACTATAGTGCGAGAGACACTTTTGGTATCCGTCTTTGAAAATTTCCGTATTTAGTCCTTTGACTTTTGTAAAAGTGACACTTTTAGTCCTTCAACTATTGCAATAGAGACATTTTTAGTCCTCCACTTATTGTGTCAAAATCATAGTAGAAGGACTAATAGTGTCAATTTGATAATACTCAAAGGACTAAATGTGGAAAACTTTAAAATAGAGGACTAAGTGTCTCTCACACAATAGTTGAGGACTAAAAATGGAAAAATCTAAAGTCGTGTACCAAAAGTGTCACTAACACAATACTCGGGGGACTAAAAGTGGCAAAAACTCTTTAAAGAAATAAGCATTTTAACACAATCGTAAATTAGAAAAATGGAGCTATTGAAAAAAAATCAGAAAACCCAATTTATACAAAAGCATTTCTGCCATAATATGATTGTCAAATGTACACATTTCTGCCATAAACATGACCAAATCTGAA